GAGGTATATAGATAAAGGTTTCTTAGTGACAGATTTGAGGAAGAATTTGAGAAGAGAGTGCTAATGATTATCTGATTTGTGTTAAAGAAAGTTTGTGATGTCTTGCGATACTTTGATTAGTTTGGTTCTTTTCAGTATAAATGGAAGATGTCAGATAATATTAATTCTTAGAAATTAAATGCGAAGCATGGAGCTGGAGAGATGGCTCAGCAGCTAAGAGCACTTGCTGCTTTTAAAGATGACCTGGGTTTGGTTCCCAGCACCCACATGGCAGCTAACAACCATCTGTAACTTCAGTTTCAGGGGACCCAACACCCTCTTCTGACCTCTGCAGGCACTGCACACAAGTGGTGCATGTGCATACATGTAGGCAAAACACTCATACACATAAAATGAAAAAATAAATAATTTGTTAAATAGAAATTAAATGCAAAGTGAAAGATGATTCATTATGTAGAAATGTAATATAAATCTGTTGATGAATCACAAATTGAAAAAATGCATTTAATTGGTTCAATTTTCTGGGTCAAAATATTGCCTTCACAAAATATATTAACTTGTCTATTGTATGATTCAATCACATGATTAAATCAATCATAAAATAACATTCCATAACAAGGTGACTTTTATTCTGTTATTCTGAAATAAAATAATGTCATAAGTTTGTGAAAAGTAATTGTGTCTACTTACATTTTGGCTGATTTTGAATAAAGCACATAAGAGCCTTTCAGGTGAATCCTTTTAGACTTCTTATTTACACAAGGTACTACTGAGTAGTGTCCCACTATTGTTAGCAAAGACAACTTAACACACAGAAACTGCTTTTGAGATGACAATTTTTACCAATTATTCCCCTTGAATCACAAGGGGATCAAGGTTAAATCTGTTTAAAAGTACTGAGCAGTAAACTTAGTTGGGAAATCTTTACAATAGCTTTAAAGTGTAAATTCATATTTAAGAGAGTTGTAAACCCTTTTCATTGAAATTTAAAATCTGTGTTTAAAGTGTGATCTTTTCTTTACATATGTATAAAGTGTTGGTCTCTACCAAATAAATTATTTCTACTGGGTCTACTCTATGAACTGCAGTTAACTGATGAATATAATGAAATAAAAAGTACTATTAACTAAAGAGAAGAATGGAGCAGGCTTCTGTAGCACTCCAGATTGACCTGAAATGGATAGTGGAAGCTGTTCCCATGAGATTTTCTCAGAAAAACTTTTCTTTGGACACATCTGAAAATTGGATGAGGAATGAGTAAGGCTGGGCAGAAGAAAAGACATGCAGTCTGGAATATGTCTTACTAATGGAATAGGAGAGTGTAACTGCTTTTATTTCCTGAACCTTTCATGAAGCTTATCAAATATATATTTGGTTACTTCCTACCCTATCTATAATATTTTTTTACTCATTTACATGGCAATATCATGCTGGGCAAGAGCAAGGTAAAGTACTTGTACTTAACTTTGATTTGGCCCATGTATAAATAGTTGATTATCATTATTTGCAAATTTCATACTTGCAAATCCACCTCAGATTTCTTCACATCACCGGACTTGTGGATTGGTAATTTCATTGTTTGAAGTGCTGCTCCCACACAAGTACTGAGGTGTTGCCTGGTGTTTTGAAACATGATAAAGTTTTGATATGCTTCAGAGAGGAAATACATGTGTTAAATAAGCTTCATTCAGGCAGGAGTTACAATGTTGTTGGCTATGAATTTAGTGTGAGTCAATCAACAATATCTATCAAAGTGTCTTTCAACAACATTTGTTAAAATAAAACAAGGTTATGTACTAATTCATTGTTTGAAATGTTTGTGCCAGAGGTTTTTAGGAACTTAGCTATGAACATGGTTCACTATTTCCTAACTCAGTGTTTGTGAGGACTTTGATAGAACATAAGTATGGCAAACAATGAAAATCAATTGTATTAAAAGTACATAATTGCCTTTCCTTTATCTATCATCTATCTCGTGGGAAGCGAGCACGGCCGAGTCAGCCAAAAATGGCGCCTTGGCTGGCTGCCAAGCCTCGTGACTCCAACTCTTGGCTGGCTGCCAAGGCGCCATTTTTGGCTGACTCGGCCGTGCTCGCTTCCCACACTATATCTATCTATCTATCTATCTATCTATCTATCTATCTATCTATCTATCTATCATCTATCTATTATATATATATATGGCATCTTTATAGATGCTAGATATTGATTCCTTGTTAGATGCATAGCTGGCAAGGATTTTCTCCCAATTTGAAGGCTGTCTCCACATTCAATAGTTTCCTTTGTTGTACACAAATTTTTTAATTTCATTAGATCCCGTTTGTCAATTGTTGACATTATTTCCAGAGCAACCAGGATCCTATCCAAGAAGCCTCTACCTAGCCTGTGTATACAGAAGTGCTTCCCATGTTTTTCTTCTAGCACCTTCAGTTTTGAGTCTTACATCAAATATCATTGATCCATTTGGAGTTGTTTCTGTATAGGGGAGAGATAGGGATCTCATTTAGTTTTATTATATAGGGATGCCAAGTTTTACCAGAAAAGACCAGCTTTTCTCCAATGTATATATTTGACATCTTTGTCAAAAATTGAGTGGCTATAACTGTGTGGGTTTAGTCTTCTGTTCTGTTCCATTCATCTGTATGTCTACCTTTGTGCCAGTATAATCCTATTTTTGTTACTATGCTTCTGTTATATAATTTGAAATCAGGTATGGTGGAATCCTCCAGCATTATTCTCTTCACTCAGAGTTTCTTTAGCTATCCAAGGATTTTTGTGTTTCCATATGGATTTTAAGATTGTTTTATATTTCTTTGAAGAATTTCATTGGACTTTTGATGGGGACTCCATTGAGTCTGTATGTTTCTTTTAATTGGATGGCCATTTTTCACAATATTAATTCTTCCAATCCATAAGCATGTAAGCTCTTTTAATCTTCTAGTGTATTTCTCAAGTTCTACAGCATTGTAAAGTTTTCACTGTAGAAGTCTTTCACCTTCTTGGTTAGGTTTATTCCAAGGGTTTTTTTTTTTTGAAGGTGGTTATGAATGGGGTTATTTTCCTGATTTCTTTCTCAACATGTTTGCTTTTAGTATGCAGGAAGGCTGATTTTTTTAGGTTAATTTTGTTTCCTGCTACTTTGCTGAAATTGTTTATCAGATCTAAGATTTTTCAGGTAGAGCCCTTAGGGTCTTTTATGTGTATACTTTTACTTTTTTTTTCTGTTTGTGTCACATTTATTTCTGTCCCTTGTCTTATTGTTCTAACTAAACTATAAGTGCTCTACTAAAAAAGAAAGGGGAAAGTAGCCAGTGTCATGTTGGTTCTGATTTTGGTGGAAATGATTTTACCTTTTGTGACAGTGCCACATTAATTAGAGACCTCACTCTTAGAATAGTTGACCAAGAGTGGGCCTGATCTTGTTATGAGGCACTCTGATTTCTCTCAGACCTGTTTTCTCAAAAATATGCCTATTCTATGATTCTTTCTAACAAAGAGCTCCTTTCATATTTATTAATGAGCAGCATATCACGCATGGAATGAGAAAGGCAGTAACAATCTTTGATAACAGTTTTACAAAGGAAGAGTTGTTTCCTTGACCCTACTGACTCAGAACAGCTCACAAAGCCACAGACAGCTGCCAGTAATCTATGTTCCCATGTTGCTTTCAACCTTTTGGGGGGGAGTCATTGTTTTCAATGTCATTATTGCTTTCAACATTATCACTATCACATCTCACACACAAACATACATTGTACTGAGTCAGGGGTGTAACTGATCATGAGTAGGGAACATGGAATAAGATTAAAGCTATTCATTTAGTGTAGCTTGTAAGATTAATTACATTGGGATTTCACATTGTAAAATTGATTACATTGTACTTCTTAGCAGGAGTACATTGTTCTAAATGTTCTCAAGACATATGATTAACTTGGTTCACAATGTTATATAAAATTTCAGTTTGTAAGAGCTTGTTACAAAGAGTCTTTCCAGAAAAAGTCATTCCCACAAGATTTTTCTCAGGTAGTATAGGTTGGCTATAAGTTCACCATATATAGCTTTTACTATGTTGAGGTATGTTATATCTATTCCTAGCTTCTTAAGACTTTTATCATGAAAGGACATTGGATTTTGTCAATAACCTTGCTTCAGCAATTGGGATGATTATGCAATTATTGTCCTTTAATCAATTTCTGTGATTATTACATTTATTAACTATCTAGGAGAACAATGGGGACTAAGAGAATTGGGTAGGGGTAAGAAACAGGAGGATAGGGGGCTATATGGGCAGGAAATAAACCCAAAGTACATTATAAACTTTTGTGAAAAATATTGTATGTCCTAGTACTATGTATGGTATCTGAATATATACATATATATACAAATATATATATCAATAGGACAAATATATACATCATATATATATATATATATATAATAAGATAGGACACAGAGATTCAGAGACCAAAGGTATATTCCGTGTCCC